ACCCCCCACCCCCCACCCCCACCCCCATGGGTTGAAAACTGTTTCCTTTAATAGTGTGTAAGAGAGTCCAAGACATCTAATGTGGTTTAATTATGTACTAACCCTAATTTAATTTCTCGCCCTCTTTTAACATCACAATAATCTTACTCCGAAGGACTGTGTTCCAAGTTGCTCCTGTCTTTTTCGGTTTGGACGAATGGGAGGAAATTGCTCAGTGCAAAACAGACAGGAGGAACCATGGGCGCTATCAATGGAATCCGGTTCCTCAGCATGACTTGGGTAATCTTGGGACATACCTACATCTTCCTTCTCTTGCAGGGGGCGTTAGGTAAGTTCGACAATTGACAAGAGCAATTCACAGACAAGATTTATGTTGACTAATATTTATGATTATAGGCAATGATAAGAAATGTGAAATTCGGTAGGACAATTTTTTCAAAGATCAAATATATATTCAGATAGACTGTCGTCACAGACATCTTATCATGATTTCAGTAAATACTGCTCCATTCGCATCCCAGATGTTGAAGAGGAGAAGTTTCATGGCCATAACGAACGCTCTCCTATCCGTCGACACCTTCTTCACCTTGAGGTAAGTATAACATGATTTGTTTAAATTCATTTCGCTTTTAAGGGTTATGTTACCATGCTGGTTGGATATTTTTTAGATCGAAAGTGTTTAAAAACGTACGGTCGGTATGGGTTATCCTGTATAAGCATCGCTGACGTGATTCATTAATGTAGATCAATCAATTAGATGGAAAAGAAACCTATTTGAATAATTTGAATGTTATGAAGGCTGCAAATAGTCATTTGGTTTGTTTTAATTGATTCAAACGATAAATTAATTATTATAGAATCTGTTTAAGTTGTTAAGGTCGATCTCCGTTGGTTGCAGCCTCCGTCCCCATTTAAAGTTTATGAATAGAATTCAAAAACTTAAAAAGGATTTTGAAACTGGAGCAACCTTAATGTGATATAATAAATCGAAGTATGTGTCTAAGTTAATCAAATGAAACGTTTGCTATGTTTCCCTTACAGCGGGTTGTTGGTAGCGTACGTTTTCATGAAGGAGATGAAGAGAGAGAAGGGTCGTATTAACTGGTTCATGTTTTACTTCCATAGGTTCTGGAGGTAAGAATCAATTAATTTAATTACGCAACAGTCTAGCGCGTCTTTGGAAATTACGGATTTGCTGGTTATACCATTTATTTTTTAAATAAATGATGCAAAAATACGTTAATACTGGTTTATGGTATAACCCTCCTATCAGAAAAGTTACTTATTTCTCCTTATGACTTCAGTCGGAAGATAAACACTATTGAATTGATACATTTGTGTTTAAACAAAGACAAAATATAAGAGATTTTTGTTATGGTAAGGTTTTTAATTGAGGTTTTTGTCATAATGACATATCTAAAAAAAGACTGTAAACTTAGTTTGGAATAGGCAAAATTAAGTTTATCTAAATGGAGATAGTAATCTACATTCCACGTACTTTACCTAAACTGATATATTCCATAATGAACTGAGGTGTGACATAAAAGCCGTGGCCACATCTTACGGTCACACATGTAGTTGACCGTAGTGGGGGATGACCGTAGTCGACTGTGGTGGGGGATGACCGTAGTTGACTGTAGTAGACCGTAGTGGGGGATGCCCGTATTTGACTATAGGAGACCATGGTGGGGGATGTCCGTAGTTGACTGTAGTAGACCGTAGTGGGGGATAACCGTAGTTGACTATAGTAGACCGTAGTGGGGGAAGACCGTAGTTGACTGTAGTTGACCGTAGTGGGGATGTCCGTAGTTGACTGTAGTAGACCGTAGTGGGGGATGACCGTAGTTTACTGTAGTAGACCGTAGTGGGGGATGACCGTAGTTGTCTGTAGTTGACCGTAGTGGGGGATGACCGTATTTGACTGTAGTTGACCGTAGTGGGGGATGGCCGTAGTTGACTGTAGTAGACCGTAGTGGGGGATGACTGTAGTTGACTGTAGTTGACCGTAGTGGGGGGTGACCGTAGTTGACTGTAGTAGACCGTAGGGGGGGATGACCGTAGTCGACTGTAGTAGACCGTAGTGGGGGATGACTGTAGTTGACTGTAGTTGACCGTAGTGGGGCTGACCGTAGTTGACTGTAGTAGACCGTAGTGGGGGATGGCCGTAGTTGACTGTAGTAGAGCGTAGTGGGGGATGGCCGTAGTTGACTGTAGTAGACCGTAGTGGGGCATGACCGTAGTTGACTGTAGTAGACCGTAGTGGGGGATGCCCGTATTTGACTATAGGAGACCATGGTGGGGGATGTCCGTAGTTGACTGTAGTAGACCGTAGTGGGGGATGGCCGTAGTTGACTGTAGTAGACCGTAGTGGGGGATGTCCGTAGTCGACTGTAGTAGACCGTAGTGGGGGATGACTGTAGTTGACTGTAGTTGACCGTAGTGGGGGTGACCGTAGTTGACTGTAGTAGACCGTAGTGGGGAATGACCGTAGTTGACTGTAGTTGACCGTAGTGGGGATGACCGTAGTTGACTGTAGTAGACCGTACTGGGGGATGACCGTAGTTGACTATAGTAGCCCGTAGTGGGGGATGACCGTAGTTGACTGGAGGAGACCGTAGTGGGGGATGTCCGTAGTTGACTGTAGTAGACCGTAGTGGAGGATGACCGTAGTTGACTGTAGTAGACCGTAGGGGGGGATGACCGTAGTCGACTGTAGTAGACCGTAGTGGGGGATGGCCGTAGTTGACTGTAGTAGAGCGTAGTGGGGGATGGCCGTAGTTGACTGTAGTAGAGCGTAGTGGGGGATGGCCGTAGTTGACTGTAGTAGACCGTAGTGGGGGATGTCCGTAGTTGACTGTAGTAGACCGTAGTGGGGGATAACCGTAGTTGACTATAGTAGACCGTAGTGGGGGATGACCGTAGTTGTCTGTAGTTGACCGTAGTGGGGGATGACCGTAGTCGACTGTAGTAGGCCGTAGGTGATCTTAGTTAAACGCATTAAACGTAGTTAGGCGTAGTTCAACGTAATTATAAACGTTGTTTTAACTTCAAGAAACCCATGATTTGGTCGTGGTAAGTCAAAATATTTTCAACATGTTCAAAATATCTCTACGGTGACTTTGGATGCCAATACGCTACTGTGACCGTAGTTCGAACATAGTTGACCCTAGTTGACCGTAATTGACCCTACTTGACCGTAGTATTTATCGTTGATGATAGTAGTATAATGGAACATGTACTACGGTTCTAACTACGGTCAAGTAGGGGGAAATAGGGTCAAATAAGCACAGCTATGGGGTTGGCCTACGTTTGAAGTACGGTCACAGTACGTTCACAGTACTGTTAAGTACGGTTAACTAGGGTCAACTAGGGTGAAGTAGGGTTAAGTAATGCTAAGTTTATAACTACGTTGAACTACGCCTAACTACGTTTAATACGTGTAACCAAGGTCACCTATACGGTCTACTAAAGTCAACTACGGTCATCCCCACTACGGTCGACCACGTGCGTGACCGTAAGATGATGCCGCAGTTTTTTGGTATGATGATTATATACTAGTAGCTATAGGAACATCAATATTAACAATACAAATTTAACATCCTTTAGTAAATATACTGGTATTTCATATTAAGACTTATAATTTTTACTGATACTTATTATTGAAGTAATGTATATACATGTATGCTGCTACATTGGTAATTTATCAATAGAGTTTTACTGCTAAAATATTAAACTGCAAGTATAATCATGTTTAAATTATATTCATTTATGTTTACAATTTTCCTATAAAATATTTGAAGTATCAATGGATTTTATACGTATCATCACACTTACAATGAAAAAGTACATATCGACATGTGGAACGACAGACTGCATATAAATACACCAAGCTAATAGATATGTGTTAACACAACTATAACTTGAACTCAAAAACAATATATAACTAGGGCAATATATAAACAAAGGAAAGATTTACATGAAGACTTTTGAAATTATATCCTTAATTTATCGTCAGACTGACTCCCCCCTACATGATGGTGATGATGCTTGACATCGTATTGTTCCGTTACCTTGGTGACGGGCCGATGTGGTCCGTAACCGGTTTGGAGACCGACTACTGTAAGGATTCATGGTGGACCAACCTTATCTACGTCAACAATCTAGTAAAGACAGACAAAATGGTGATTTACAATCGTTCTAATCTATTTTGGAATTGAAATGATATCAAACTTCATTCATTGAATAATTATAGATCGATTAGTTCACACAATCAATAACTGTTTTACTCGTTATGTATGTTACCTTCGGAAGACTCTTGCGTATACATCCAATGCTGCAGCAACGGACCGAAGTGTCTCGAACATAATATTCTGGTCATTTGTCAAAGCTTTGAAGGCAACTTATCGTAATACGTGATAGTATGTGGAAGTCACGAACTGGACCAATCTAACGTACATGTACAGTTTAAGCATCCCTTTACTTTGTCTTTGAGTTATCGTAGACATTTTGTCGCTATGCACATCCGTTGCAATCTTGCATGCGCCGTATTTTCAGAACAACCAACATTCTCCGATGAAACTTCATTTATATTATATGTTGATTTATATTTTCCCGAAAACTGATGCGAGCTTACAACAATCAAGTTAGTTATTTTTAAAAACAGTCAAATAGACCTAATCAAATACAATCAATTAACGGTAGAGGGGATACAAGTTCGATGAACTTTTGTGTCCTAACATCAAGATCTAGTATTAGTCAGTCACGTTCGTTCAAAATTGCCTACAGAGACCGAACACGATAAAATCGTTTCACACAACTTTTCTCGTGAGCTTTGAATCGAAAAAATATTATTTTTCACAAAAAACAGCCAATCTCATAGCAATACTAAACCGAAAGGAGCACCGGGTTCCCTCAACCCTAGCTACTTTTTTTGCAAAGTGGATGTAAAATATAGCACTGGTTTAAGCGACACTTCATATGTAAATAGACCGGCGAGGCAGGATAGGTTTGCTGAAATACTGATGTACAAGTGTAAGTAACATGCAGATAATTTGAAAATGTCAGAAACAGTTTACATATGTCACAGAGGACAATTAAACAAGGACAGCAAGGTACAAAAAAAACAAAGTAGCACATTAGTTATCAAGACAAATAGCATTATGATTTATTTATAGGTGTAACAAAACTAGGTTATGATACTAAATATTCAATATGTAAATATTGAGAATGTGTACACCATTAAAATGTAAATTAAAGAAACGGTTGAAGCTAAAACCACATATTTCAGCGAATTGTTAAAAAATATACAAAACCATATATCAATTAAAACATTGAATCATACACAGAAAACACAGAAAAAATATAAAATAGAACTTGGTAGACGGGAGTAAAGTGGAAACATATTTTTGCAATAGAAGGGAGAGAACTCCTTTACACACATGTCATAAGTTATGTCCCCTTAAATGCTTACTTACGCTAAACAGAATTTTAAAATAAAGAAAGAAGATAAATGTTGTAGAAAACTACACATAAACTAACAAAGTCATTAGCACAAAACAAAAACAAGATTTACTGAGAATACGTCGTACATTTCCATGATACCTATATTCATGTAATAGTGATTTTGATGCATTAAAGTTCATTTGCAGTGCTGGTTTCCGGACATTCGCATAATATGAGTGTTAGTTTGCAATTTGAGAAAAACAAATACTGCTTTCAGTTGGCATTCTTATTCATATTGACTAGGAATAAAACCTGTACGCAGTTATATACCAAAATAACTTTACTGAGCTAGAATTTGTACATATTTCTAGTACAATGTATATCTTTTAAGTCTAACTTACATAGGTGATGTGTAAACACAATTTGTTACTGTTGACAACTTGTTTAATGTTTTACCAACAAGGAAAATAGTATACCAACCTACAGGCATTTGTAGGGCTTCGAGTAATACCAACAACAGGCGATTTTAGCTATTAGTGCCTCTGCCCTGTGTCAAACATGGCGTATTGAATAAATAGCAAAAATAAAGAAATAATAAATTAATTAAAGGTTCAAACATTGAGTTTGTAGTAATAAAATAAAAATAAAATACTGATACAAATGCATACACTAACGCAAGAATCTCGCAAAGAGGATTACTGAACTCTAACAAGGATACATGATCAAAAATAGCGGATCTGCACCTTACGGATATGAAGTAAAATTCACTGAATCGAAAATCTGGTGACATTGTTTTTTTTGTCATCAAATCACTTTGGACGTTTTTGTTACAAGCCAAGTCTGCACTATACTCATTTAATCTGATTGAATAATCAACGCATTTATAGTTTGTCTTGTTTTGTGTTTACAGTGTTTTGGCTGGTCATGGTACCTTGCAAATGACATGCAGTTTTACGTGATCAGTCCAATTATACTAGTTCCGCTGTATTTGTAAGTAATGTTGTATCTTTAGGGGTAGTACTGAGACAGGTTGTGTAGAGTTAAGGAAGAATACTGAGGAGGGGCAATATAATGTAACAGCATCTATGTAATAATGAGAAGTGTATAACAGAGTATGGTAAGACTGAGGTGAGTTGTGTTAATGTTTATGTTAAATACTGGGGAGAAATACAAAACAGTCTATAGATACTATTGCGAGGGGTTGTGTGACAGACTATGGGTAATACTGAGGTGAGTCGTGTGCTAGTATACAGGCAATACTATGCTGAATCGTGTAATAGTCTAACGGCAATACTGAGGTGAGTCGTGTATTAGTCTATCGGCAATAATGAGGTGAGTCGTGTAATAGTCTATCGGCAATACTGAGGTGAGTCGTGTGCTAGTATATAGGCAATACTATGCTGAGTCGTGTAATAGTCTATAGGCAATACTGAGGTGAGTCATGTAAGAGTCTGTGAATAATACTGAGGTGAGTCGTGTACTAGTCTATGGGCAATACTGAGGTGAGTCGTGTACTAGTCTATGGGCAATACTTTGCTGAGTCGTGTACCAGTCTATGGGCAATACTGAGGTGAGTCATGTAACAGTCTGTGAATAATACTGTGCTGATTCGTGTACTAGTCTATGAATGATACTGTGCTGAGTCGCGTACTAGTCTATAGGCAATACTATGCTGAGTCGTGTACCAGTCTATGGGCAATACTGAGGTAAGTCATGTAACAGTCTATGGGCAATACTGACGTGAGTCATGTAACAGTCTGTGATTAATACTGAGTAGAGTCGTGTAATAGTCTATGGGCAATACTGAGGTAGGTCATGTAGCAGTCTATGGGCAATACTGAGGTGAGTCATGTAAGAGTCTGTGAATAATACTGTGCTGAGTCGTGTACTAGTCTATAAACGATACTGTGCTGAGTCGCGTACTAGTCTATAGGCAATACTATGCTGAGTCGTGTACCAGTCTATGGGCAATACTGAGGTAAGTCATGTAACAGTCTGTGAATAATACTGTGCTGAGTCATGTACCAGTCAATGAATGTCGTGTACCAGTCTATGGGCAATACTATGCTGAGGCGTGTACCAGTCTATAAATGATACTGTGCTGAGTCGCGTACTAGTCTATGGGCAATACTATGTTGAGTCGTGTACCAGTCTATAACTGTCGTGTACTAGTCTATGAGTAATACTATGGAGAGTTGTTGAACAGACTATGAGTAATACTGTGCTGAGTCGTTAACCAGTCTATGAATAATACTGTGCTGAGTCGTGTACCAGTCTATGAATGACACTGTGCTGAGTCGTGTACCAGTCTATGAATGACACTGTGCTGAGTCGTGTACCAGTCTATGAGTAATACTATGGTGAGTTGTTGAACAGACTATGAGTAATATCGTGGTTAGTCGTGTAACAGACTATGGACAATACAGAGGTGAGTCTTGTGATAATTTATGGGTCCATGTTATACTTGGGCGATTTGTGTACCAGTATAAGGGTAATACCGTGGTGAGTTGGGGAACAATCTACGGATGATATTAAGGAAGGTTGCATACATCTTCAGATAATACAGTGGGTGGTTGTGTAATAGCCTGTGGGTAATACAGTGAGAATGAGTTTGTAACAGGCCATGGGTAAACCTAAGAAGGATTAACATTATTTTACAAATCTCAGATAATGTTTTATATATCTTAACATTGTATTTTATTTCTCTATCAACCTTACATTTTAACACCCAATTTGATGTCTTTTTTTAGCTCGAAGAAGATCGGAAGCGCAATTGCTGTCCTATTTCTATTGGGAACTACTATTGCCAGCGGAGTGATATCTAAGACCTACGAACTGCCATCTACTCAGTATTCCATGGTACCTAACCCGTGAGTAAGCTTATCGTCTTATCAAAGCCTAAGACTGAACAGAAAAGATCCCGCGAAAAAACTTATTTTACCGGACTTAAATTTCAAAGTATTATTATTTTGAACAGATTTGTGCATTGATAAATTGGCGCACTCACAAAAACGTTCTAGACAGAAACCTCAATTTGTAGAGCGCAAAACGCGCTAAAATAAGATTACTACTAGAACAAGTACGCTTACAGAAGTTTTAATAGGTGGATATTCTACTGTCATTCATGCGAGGTTTGATTTCGCTTTTTAGGTCACCTGAGACAAAGTCTCAAGTGACCTATTGCAATCGCCTTCTGTCCGGCGTCGTTCGTTGTGCGTCCGTAAACAATCTACATTTTCGACTTCTTCTCCAAAACCCCTGAACCAATTTCAATGAAATTTAGCAGAAACCTTCCATGGCCAAAGGTCAACAAAAAAATTGTGAATGATATGATCCCCAGCCCCCAGGGGCCTGAGGGGCGGGGCCGAAAATGGTCAAATTGACTAAAATTTCAAAAATCTTCTTCTCAAGACCCAGATATGGTAGAATCAAATACTCTTCATAGATGAAAGGGTCCTAATGTGCGTTACCACAATTGTGAATTTCACGACCCTGGGGTCTCACGTTTCCCCCTCGGGAGGGGGTAAACTTTGCTATAGTTTATATAGGGAAATCACATTTTGGACCATCATTTGTTTCATTTCCATTGGAATTAATTCAAACTTGGATTGCATTATCAGTATTGGATAGCAGTTTGATGATATGCACATATCAGCCCTGACTGACCCCCAGGGACTGATAGGTGGGGCCAAAAAGGGTCGAATTGACTGAAATTTCAAAAATCTTCTTCTCAATATCCAGATATGGTAGAATCAAATACTCTTCATAAATGGAAGGGTCTTAAGGTGCTTTACAAAAATTCAGCTGACTGACAAAACCACTGTTTGTACATAGTACATATACTACCCAGATCTTACACACTACTTTTGCATTACATGTAGTTTAAGTTACCTTTGTGACAAAAATATTTCTTTTTCATTTGGTAACATCGATAACATCAGTTTTTACATAAATCAGGTGACCGAGATGAGATGAAACGACAATGACTCGCTGTTGTTGAACACTATTCTCCCATCAGTGTTTGGTCACACTGTTGGATTATTCTGGGGGATAATCACCACTGTGATCGTCCGAGGTCGATATTGCTTTCTTAGGTTGATATAACCATGTATCGACCTCATCAACATGCTATAATTGTATAGGATTATACGACTATCGTGTTTTATAAACAGATAACCAGAAGACATGTACTATAACAACAAAGTCCCTTGTCGTGTACTCACGACTACGAGGATGTGACTGCTTATTATTTGGTCTTTTGTGCACGACAACAAGGATGAGACGGCATATTATTTTGTCGTCTTTACATGACAACAAGGATGAGGTGGCCTATTATTTTGTCGTCTTTACATGTCAACAAAGATGAGACGGCATATAATTTTGTCGTCTTTACATGACAACAAAGATGAGATGGCACATTATTTTGTTGTCAGTAAAGACAACGGTACGGAACGGAAAGAGTTTAATTTCAAGATGTAATACATGATGTTGAAGAGGTATTTTCTTATGTTAATAAAACAAAACTCATTACAAATACATAACGCTATTTTTGGCCAAACGTTTGGTTATGAAATTATTGTAATATTGTCATATGCTATCCTAACACTATATGTTTCATATGGTACAGACACAGTGGGGATTATTTCGAAAAGTACTACATCAAACCGTACTGTCGCATGGGACCCTACATCATCGGCATGATGACGGGCTATATTCTCTACAGAACGAAAGGCAAATACAACATGAAACCGGTAGGTTTAACACTGTATCGAATATTGTCATGCAATAAAATGATACCTGTAGCACCAGAGTTGTAATTCAACATCATGTCTAACAGCGTTTACCCTCTGTGATGAATACATGTTGATATGGGGTGGGGTTGCAAAGGAAATCCGCCATCTTGGATCCAAGATGGCGCCTTAGCAACCCCATGAACCTACGTCCCAATATCTACATGTATTCATCATGTGTGTTTTTTTGCGTGTGACGTCATCAGTTTTAGTGTTACCGACTGAATTAACTCCCCTTGTTTCCAATAGGTGTGTATTTTGAGTGTGACGTCATTTTGACGGACTTAACTCCCCTTGTTTTTGACTTTTTACCTTCTGATTCCAGGTATCCTCTCTCTCGGCGACGCGGTTTCGTTGTTTTTTTTCTTACTTTTCTTTTCTCCGCTTTTTAATCATATATTTTCATTTTCCTCCATAATCTTATGCATAACGCATATTTACAAACAATACATAGTTACAACATGCGTTATTCACAATATAAAAATTCACGGCATATTTATAGTGTTTTCGAGTGTGGTATTAAATTGAGATGAACTATTTTTTTCGTCTAGGAAGTGAGTGTGTCGGTGCTGTAGCAGGTGGTGTTGCGTCCTTGTTTGAACTAAAAATGATAGTTAACACATAGACAATTCACAATGATACATTAGCTGACGGTATAATAAAAGAGTGAAGTAAGTTATTCTATTTGGACGATTCATATTCTTACAGAGTAGCGTGTAATACTGAATACTGGCCGCTTGAACGTCGTTGTCTATGCCTTCTTTGGCGATGTTGTTTCCTTATGCGCTCCTTGTCGTTTGATATGTTGTGTCGTTCCTTCCTGTACGTGTCTGCTTGCCGTTGTATTAATTGTGACACTTAACTCTGTGACACTTAACTTGCCCCGCCCTTCAGCCCCAGGGGACTTCAGCCTCTTCCGTAAGATACAATATTATATTCATCATCCAAATATCAATTTATTAAATCTTGCTCATATTTCAACTGCAATTTTAATTTAAGATGTCTTTTGAATGATTTGCATACTATGGCCTTCTGATATATCAAATGACCCTTCAAGTCTCTCCCTATGTGTTATACTTTTCTCCTTTCTAGATTCTGATTCTGATCATCTTAGTTCCTTTTTATAAAATACACTGAAAGTCTACCAGTACGTTTCAGAAGAGATAACGCTTAAAAATGTTGCACTCTTTGACCCGTACAAATGTAATGGCAGCTAAGGCTCCTTGATGTCAGCCTTTGTATGAGCATAGACTCTGATTCTCATCTTCTAAAGATCATTATATGAAATGTGGGTAAAATACTTCCTCAGTAAGTTTTAAAGGATCGCATTTTGAAAGTTTTCAATTCTAGGCTGCTGATGGGCAGGCCCTTGCCCTCAACTCAGCTCATATCAAGCATCATCTATGAATCGTTTTAATGAATGTTGTGAAAGATTGTCCTGTTTTAGAGATGTCACTTAAAAGTTTTGTATTGTGACCACAACGGCCCTTCCCTATGTAGTCTTTGGGCCAGCCCTACTTTCTATTCAATCTGATACCCGCTACAAGCTCATAACCTCAACATTGACCAAACAGGTTTTTAATAGAAAATGAAAGTGTGATTAAAACTGACAACAGACGAAACCAATCAAAATAGGTAATTTAAATGACAAAGGTTATAGTGGCGAAGGTCATCTCAGTGGCAAAGGTCATCACAGTGACAAAGGTCATTTCAGTGACGAAGGTCACCTAAGAGACAAAGGTCATCTCAGTGACGAAGGTCAACTCAGTGATAATGGTCATTTTAGTGACGAAGGTCATCTTAGTGACAAAGGTCATATCAGTGACAAAGGTCATCTTAGTGAAAAGGTCTTCTCAGTGACGAAGGTCATCTCAGTGACAAAGGTCATATCAGTGACGACGGTCACCTCTGTGACAAAGGTCATATCAGTGACGAATGTCATCTCAGTGACAAAGGTCACCTCAGTGATGAAGGTCATCTGAGTGACGAAAGTCATCTGAGTGACAAAGATAATCTCAGTCACGAAGGTCATCTTAGTGACAAAGGTCACCTTAGTGACGAAGTCGTCTAATTGAAATATAAACCAATTAAGATACCTCGAGGTAAGCTATTTTAGTTACTTCGATGTGAATACAATTGTTTACAAATTGTGTAAGACCATTTTAATAGTCATAACAATGTGGAATAACCTATCATTTCCAGCCAGTATCATTGTTTATATGGATTGTGATGACGACCTTGGCGTGTCTGGTTATCTACGGTGTTTACGATGAGACCAGTGGTAAAACTGCGATGAGTGTAAACGTTGCCGCCCTTTATAATGCCGTCCACAAGACATTGTGGGGAGTGTGTGTGTCATGGGTCATATTCGCATGCGTTACCGGAAATGGTGGTAGGTTGACGTCATTGCATTTCTGGAATCAATCCAAAGAAAATCAAATGTTTACAGCGCTAGTTAGTTTCATTGATATCAATTTCAAATAACATTTCAAAATTTCAAAATTTGAAATATTCTTTCATATTATTACAATGGTTTGTATAAAAAGTAGCAATAATATGCTGTGATGCATAACACTTTTTCTGCTTTTCTCAACACACTGAAAATGGGTTATACTCTTAACGCTTATTTTTACTGCTTACTAATTAATTAAATGAGGACGCACTATTTATAGGTTGTGTCTGATCATTTTCTTGGTGCCGCGTTTTTCTCTTAGACTAAATATATACAAACAAAGAGTGTTGAGAACATATATCCTGAAAAGTTCCAAGACCTCAACGTAAAGATGTTATAAATAAATGCTGACTTTCTGTTATAATCCTTTTTATTGTTATGTTCCCCGTTCTGTTTTATTCCAGGATATATAAACACTATTTTGTCCTGGAGTCCATTCGTCCCCCTCGGACGTCTGACGTACTGTGCCTACCTCGTTCATCCGATCATTATATTTGTCTACATAAGGTCCCTCAGACAGGCCGTGTACGCAACAGATTTTGTCATGGCAAGTGAACCATCATCTAATTATACTCCTGGGAGTGGAACTGGGCTATCTTTGAGGGGTTAAAACAAATGGATCCTTTTGTAGTAACCTAGTGATTATCTGGTTTGTATGATTTTTGATGAAACAATGCCCGGGGAATACGAAAATTTATCAATATCAAAACAATATTTGAAAAACAAATCTGTAAGCAAGAATGACGTCATTGCCTATTTTTGTGTCCTTGCAACAAGAGAATATTAAATCGAGAATCAAAATCGTTATTTAAGCTAATAATCTAGGGCACAATATAAACAATTGAAAGATTGACACGTTACAAGAAAACTAAGACCAGATTCACCTGAAATGAAAGCGTCCTGGACGGTTCCTTCTATATCAATCGCGGTCAGTGGTAAAAGGTCGGACTATAACAATTTAACTCAGTGGTAAAAGGTCGGACTATAAAGATTTAACTCAGGGATAAAAGGTCGGACTATACAGATTTAGCTCAGTGGTAAAAGGTCGGACTATAACGATTTAACTCAGTGGTAAAAGGTCGGACCAGAAAGCTTAAACTCAGTGGTAAAAGGTCGGACTATAAAGATTTAACTCAATGTAAAAGGTCGGACTATAAAGATTTAGCTCAGTGGTAAAAGGTCGGACTATAAAGATTTAACTCAGTGGTAAAAGGTCGGACTATACAGATTTTACTCAGTGGCAAAATGTCGTTCTAGCATGATTAAACTCAGTGGTAAAATGGCGGACTTAAAAGATTTAGCTCAGTGGTAAAATGGCGGACTATACAGATTTAGCTCAGTGGTAAAAGGTCGGACTATTAAGATTTTACTCAGTGGTAAAATGGCGGACTATAAAGATTTAGCTCATTGGTAAAATGGCGGACTATACAGATTTAACTCAGTGGTAAAAGGTCGGACTATAAAGATTTTACTCAGTGGTAAAATGGCGGACTATAAAGATTTAGCTCAGTGGTAAAATTGCGGACTATACAAATTTAGCTCAGTGGTAAAAGGTTGGACGATAAAGATTTTACTCAGTACTATAAAGATTAAATTCAGTTGTAAAAGGGCGGACTATAAAGATTTTACTCAGTGGTAAAAGGCCAGACTATACAGATTTTATTCAGTGGTAAAAGGTCGGACTATAAAGATTTAACTCAGTGGTAAAAGGTCGGACTATACAGATTTTACTCAGTGGCAAAATGTCGCACTAGCATGATTTAACTCAGTGGTAAAATGGCGGACTATAAAGAATTAGCTCAGTGGTAAAATTGCGGACTATACAAATTTAGCTCAGTGGTAAAAGGTTGGACGATAAAGATTTTACTCAGTGGTAAAAGGTTGGACGATAAAGATTTAGCTCAGTGGTAAAATGGCTGACTATACAGATTTAGCTCAGTGGTAAAAGGTCGGACTATTAAGATTTTACTCAGTGGTAAAATGGCGGACTATACAGATTTAGCTCAGTGGTAAAAGGTCGGACTATTAAGATTTTGCTCAGTGGTAAAATGGCGGACTATAAAGATTTAGCTCATTGGTGAAATGGCGGACTATACAGATTTAACTCAGTGGTAAAAGGTCGGACTATACAGATTTTACTCAGTGGCAAAATGTCGCACTAGCATGATTTAACTCAGTGGTAAAATGGCGGACTATAAAGAATTAGCTCAGTGGTAAAATTGCGGACTATACAAATTTAGCTCAGTGGTAAAAGGTTGGACGATAAAGATTTTACTCAGTACTATAAAGATTAAATTCAGTTGTAAAAGGCCGGACTATAAAGATTTTACTCAGTGGTAAAAGGTCAGACTATAGAGATTTTATTCAGTGGTAAAAGGTCGGACTATAAAGATTTAACTCAGTGGTAAAAGGTCGGACTATACAGATTTTACTCAGTGGCAAAATGTCGCACTAGCATGATTTAACTCAGTGGTAAAATGGCGGACTATAAAGAATTAGCTCAGTGGTAAAATTGCGGACTATACAAATTTAGCTCAGTGGTAAAAGGTTGGACGATAAAGATTTTACTCAGTACTATAAAGATTAAATTCAGTTGTAAAAGGCCGGACTATAAAGATTTTACTCAGTGGTAAAAGGTCAGACTATAGAGATTTTATTCAGTGGTAAAAGGTCGGACTATAAAGATTTAACTCAGTGGTAAAAGGTCAGACTATAAAGATTAAACTCAGTGGTAAAAGGTCGGACTATAAAGATTTTACTCAGTGGTAAAAGGTCAGACTATACAGATTTTATTCAGTGGTAAAAGGTCGGACTATAAAGATTTAACTCAGTGGTAAAAGGTCGGACTATAAAGATTTAACTCAGTGGTAAAAGGTCGGACTATAAAAGATTTAGCTCAGTGGTAAAAGGTCGGACTATAAAGATTTAACTCAGTGGTAAAAGGTCGGACTATAAAGATTTTACTCAGTGGTAAAAGGTCGGACTATAAAGATTAAACTCAATGGTAAAAGGTCGGACTATAAAAATTAAACTCAGTGGTAAAAGGTCGGACTATGAAGATTTAACTCAGGGATAAAAGGTCGAACTATAAAGATTTAACTCAGTGGTAAAAGGTCGGACTATACAGATTTTACTCAGTGGCAAAATGTCGCACTAGCATGATTTAACTCAGTGGTAAAATAACGGACTATAAAGATTTAGCTCAGTTGTAAAATGGCGGACTATACAGATTAAACTCAGTTGTAAAAGGTCGGACTATAAAGATTTTACTCAGTGGTAAAATGGCGGACTATAAAGATTTAGCTCAGTGGTAAAATGGCGGACTATAAAGATTTAGCTCAGTGGTAAAATGGCGGACTATACAGATTTAGCTCAGTGGTAAAATGGCGGACTATAAAGATTTTGCTCAGTGGTAAAATGGCGGACTATAAAGATTAAACTCAGTTGTAAAAGGTCGGACTATAAAGATTTTACTCAGTGGTAAAACGTCGGACTATACAGATGTAATCTAGTGGTAAAAATTCGGACTATAAAGATTTTACTCAATGGTAAAAGGTCGGACCAGAAAGTTTAAACTCAGTGGCAGAAGATCGGACTAGAAAGATTAAACGAGCTGCTCTTGTACCTAGAATGAGGCACATATACATATTGCGGCGTTAGACACGCACAGCTGTATTGCTTGAATTAGGCAAATATTTCTCTAAACGAAAATATGATATTTTAGAAAGAAACCTATCACAGTTAAGGATACATGTACATGGAAATTAAATTTTTAGAAAGAAAACTATCACAGTTTATGACAAATGAACGAGTAAGCTTTTAACAAAAGGCAGGCAGGTATAAATACGTCAACAGTAATATCACTCCATGCATATTTCATATATCATCGTTTGTATTCTTACGACAATTGTCATTTTATTTTTATTTTTTTGTGTGTTGTGTTTCCAACAGATCTACCAGTTCCTGGGACATCTTGTGACCGCCTACGGTGTGGCTTTCGTCGTGTCACTGACCTTCGAGTCCCCGATGATGGGGCTAGAGAGGGCTATCTTCCGGCGGGGTAAAAAGAAAAACCAATAGTTACCATTACGTAACTGCATAAGACGTCCAGATATATACATATTGTACGACATGAAATGGACGCGGATGAACTAGAACCATATAAAAAAAAAAAAAATGTATTTTTAATTGAATGAAATATTGTATTTCTTCATAACACAATTGCATTATGGTTCTTACAGGATGATATGCCATATTACACATTTGAACAAATACTGGGAAGTTATTCCCATCGTCCAATCAAGTTTGGCCTGAATATGGAAAACGCGTCAGCGTATACCACATTAAACATATTTGAAAAGCATGTACATGTATATACATGTACTTGCAATCGTTGTACAATTTTGTAGTTTTTATCAAGATTTTAAAATAAAATAATAAGACATTTGTAATTAAACATCAAGTCTGTGTTTTACGTTTTGTTTTTACCTATCTACCTAATATAATTTGATTAAGAGCATTTCTAACGATACATGCAAAACCATTCTATGAAATGTACTGAATGAAATCTTTTGTACTTTTTTATTAGAGTGCAGGCATTGCATGATGCTATATGTTTTTCCTTTATGTTTCAGGGTTTTATTTTATAAATTATTGTAAACAATGATAATAACCCCTTACATGATAAACACTGAGGATAATATCGGAACTTGAAGTTGACATTGACAAAACAACACCAGAAAAATAAACAACAGTAACTCTCTATGACATACTAAACAAGTCATAATTCATGATATCTGATATAGGATTATCATAGCTGCTTGAGTCCCTATTGTTTACCGTTATCTCGTCAACATAATGTTTTATAAACGTAAAAGTGATGCTTATGTAACGAGTGGAAGATCTGACAAGAATAAGAAATTATATATTACAATAGTCATAACGTAGCAATAGCGTGATCTAATTTATGCGAAATCCATTAGGTAGCTTTATTCCCAGAGATGTGTTGAGTTGTTCGGGAAGAATTTAAAACCATACAAGCCATAGTGTTTGCTTTTACATGTGTAATGCTATGACACTTTCAATATAAATTGAAATATTAACAAATTTTAATCACAATTTCCAATTAATCGCGTAATCATGGCAATCGCGTTCATAAATATCGAATGATATACTTTTTCTTTCTTTTCATCATGTCAAATCGTTCTTTGTGTATCAAATTGGCAGATAGTCTCTGCTTGTATTAAATTGTAGCGAAAAAGATTTTCAATTCCGGTCAAGAATGAGATGTACATACTTCATTTGCTTAGAGCTTATCAATCTACAAATAATCTCTGTTTGTGTTGTCAAATGTTGTTAATCAATCGACTATTCTTTCAAGCGAATAACTGTCCAGATCTTGACAAATTTTGTAAACGATCATCAAAATACACTTCAAAGTTAGGCATGATATAGAATGAGCACAAAATAAGATAATTTTATCGAAAACTAAATTGTCACCTTTATGGTTTAAAAACATACCTGTAGAAAATAACACATTGTTTCAATCGAAAAAGGTATGATAAAGTGGTAACTGTAAAAGTTTGGGTAAGTAAAGGATCATATAAGTTGTTGTTTTTTCTTCTTTTTCAATGACGTTTGTTATAAACATGATACAAACACTACTTTTCAATCATTATTATGGAGTGATAAGCGCATAGAAATACTTCAACACGCTTAATCAATCTAACAATATTTTAATATATCGGATCATTTCGTTCACTACTGAGATAAAAGATCATTTTAAAAAGGATGACAGGATTTATATTTCTATTATAAGTTATTGTAACAAATAAAGCAATGTAATGGAACAAAATATATTGAAAACTTTGATTACAATGAACCCAATGAAGGTAACTAATAAAACAAAACTATAAAAGTTACAACAAGGAATAAATCCTCATATCATTGGAACTAATTCTCATTTATGTAAGATTGTACACAAAATCTTCATTATGTTCACTGATATGAGAAAGGGAGATAATTACTCATTTCTTATTGGAGTGCATTCAAGTACAGAGCTTTTTTGATAATTTGTAAATCTCTCTTAAACGTCTTATTTTTCTCTTTTCAATCAACAACGCAATTTAGATATTTCGGTTTATCAAACAGTTAGTGCTATTGTTTATCGAACAAGATTTCTAAAATAGAATCGATCATTATATAACATCTCATAAATAAATATCTTTTATACAAAGCTAAATGTTTACACATTTCACTCATTGCTATTGTTCTAACAAATTATAATTAAAAGTACATTAAGATTCGGAAATATATTGCTAATAGAACAGGGTTTGAATATTTTAATATGTTTTAAAATGAAAAAGGAAAAGTGTATAAACAAGTTAAAATTGCTGAAGCATTGATAATATATTTGCCCATTAATGTATTACAAGTATATTAAAATAGTGTTTCTCGTTCCTGAGACTCCCTGTGCTTTGCTATGAAAAACATTTAAAGCCATGGTTGCTCACTAAATCTCATCCAACTATAATTTAATTAACCCCCTAAGTAAGTACTGTATGATTTGAGTCCGGTGAAGTGGATTGTTCCAATCCTGTACCGGAAGAAAATTACCTTTACTTAAATTGAATCAACTTAGTAACTTTATTTCCAGTACCTCTGCTTTCGCCTCTTTGTCTTTAAACGTACAACTAGTGCAGTGTATAAAATACGGAGTATACCGGAGATCCCTCATTAGACACGTTATTCTATAAATAAAGATAGATGTGTTTTATTTTATCCATTAGTACATGATGATAAGTTGTTAGATAGTTGGATTTCCTGATTCTCTCTCCATAAGCCAATCAGATGGGATACGCGGTAAAGGATGGCGTCACCAATGAGATATGACAACTTATACATAACTCAAATGCGTAGCTATATTGCACCATTATATAACAGGTCTTCAACTGATGTAAACTAGTGCATTTATATGACAGATATGCTGGTTAGATGAATGTTGTTGACGTTGAGCAAGAGTTAGGTAAGGATGATTTCTACACAGCTTAATGAGCTTAACGACGTGAATATTACACTGTGGTATTTATGAAAAGTTTACAAAGTTACAAATAATCCGACATTTGTTTTTTTTTATTATTTTAACGGTGGACATCATAAATCCCCCACCTGACATTTAAGTTGAGAATGCAGTTTCTATGTAAATAAAACCATATTAAAGTGTGACGTGGTAAGTTATCAGTAAGCTGGTTAGGCTTTGAAAATACTGCATCCCAACGATGAAAAATGTAAGTTGTGTAATGTGATGCTGTATCGTATTAGTGTGAAGAAATAAACCATCCTACTGTAGAGTGCAACCTGTGTTGGTGTAGACCGTATACAACTGCTATCAAGTCTATAGAATGTAGGTAACAGGTTTTACACTCTGCTACCAATAGTTAGCCTAAATGTCAAACGTTCCCGCTAGCATGATCTGGAATGCATCTGAATAAAGCTGATATTTTTGCAACACATTCAACAATTACATAAATGTCAAACTTCTGCTTATATTATATATGTAAGAAGCAAAATGACAGCTGCCACTCCATATGTACATGTACGCGCTATACATTGTAAAGGCGCCCTTAAACTATACTGTTTTCCGAACAACTGTTATTGAACGACCTAGATGTTTCACTATAATGGATTTTGCTTTATTCGCGTTCACTAACACGTACGCGAGTAAACACTGTAAAGACTGAAATAACATCATTTCCGGTCATGTAACAAAGTTGCAGGCGTGTCAATACTTCCACGGGTGTGAGTGTGTGCGTGTAAGTCTGCGCAAAAAAAACCCCGAAGTATGTTTGCGATATCAGACGTGGATCTATTTTAAGCATAACTTTAATTACATACTTAATAATGTAATGTTCATGCAAAATGACAAAGTATTTGCCACAATCATCCCATATCCATATTCATGTTGCTCTCAGTAAAAGATGCAACATATGACAATGACGGACAATAGAGCAATATATTGCATATATGTTGCAGATCTACCTGTATAACCACTGCACGTGTCGCAGACAGTGTAAATTAAGCGTGATAGTGCACAACGATATGTTTGTCTGTAACGCATGTTGGAGTTATACCTATAAGACTGCAACAATCATTTGTATGAGCAAAATGCAAATAGCATTTATTTTTTATCCAATCAAAATTACAATTAGTTATTGGCGAAATCATTTTAATAGCAATAACAACTTGTTTCCCATACAACATTTGGTTTTATTTTTAATCTAAAAAAAATAAAATTTCAAATGAATGAATAATTGTCGATTAAATCATCGGGAATGGTTTTAAAACTATTTCCCGAGCGCGCAATCACACAATCGTATCAGTGTGCTGAGACTATGTATTCGTACACTGCAAACAATATCGCAGTTAGGCTCTCATAAATGAACCTCTTCCAAGACGGACTGTCTGTACGGAATTAAACGTTTACGAATAAAGGCCATCCCATTGAATTAGCATTACCTGGATACGGTAAGCACTCAAACTAGTCACAATATACACTTATATTGCCCCAAGTAGCTTCCCCATGCATACGTTGTTCACATGTCGAAGTTGATTCTGTATATGGGAGTCTGCTCCGAATATCATGACTTTCGTGATAGATGTCGCCTACTGGTGGTTAAAAGTACAACACAAAGTTTCCAGAGATGCAGGTTGATGAAGACTATGGATACGTTTGATGGTCGCCGTCATGGTTTCGTTAGAATGCTATTTTATTGTGTGATATGAAGGTCGATGTTTTTGATTATGCTCATCAGTGTGACTTGTGATTTGTTGCAACTACCCGAGTTCCTAATGTGATAACGTGGCACTACTTCTAAATGATGTAGATTTACACGGTATGTGCAACCAAAGACACTTACTCTTCCGGAACTTCTGGTCTTATTCTCCTTTGTCAAGATTGCGCCATAGTTTTATCGATTTTGAGAACTTATTTTAATTGTTTTTACATGGGTGTTCTCTTGTCGTTTTTTCACCACTGGTAACACGTACGAATGTAAATTTAATAAAAGTGAAAGATAGTTTGGTCTCTTTGGCCCGTATTGCAAGTGTGCAATAAGGAAATGTGTTCTGCATAATCAGTAATGCAACATTAGGATTTTTTTAAAATAAATATGACTACATCATTGTAAACGATAATATTCCCCCACACAGACTTCTTTAAAGAGTCTAACAGCAACATTAACCATCGCTAAATTTCTATCTCTTATTGTATACGGTCACGATTTTTAGTTTATTTTTTCACCAGTTAGTGAAGTAACTATATTTATACAGTGTACATCTGTAGAAATATTTATTAAAAATTATTTCATTAAGCGACTGTGACTGCTATCTCACTCTCCAGTTACTGGGGTATCTCATTACTTCTAATAGTGGTGCTACTTCTAGCACAACTTATACAGCTACATGTAGAAACGTTTAAAACGAGTTTCACTTTTTTTCCATTTGACGTTGATGTAGGACATTAATTGTAATTGTATCACTCAAGATGAAATCCCTTACAAATGTAGCAATGGGAACAATTATGTTTATTGTCCTTGCAACTTAAGCCATACGAGGACGGCTGCCTAGGCAGACACAACTGAAA